TCATTTTTTATTAAAATTACAACCAATCATGCATCCATCCAACCATCCGTCCATCCATCCAACCGTCCGTCCATCCATCCAACCGTCCGTCCGTCCATCCATTCATTCATCCAACCGTCCGTCCATCCAACCGTCCGTCCATCCATCCAACCGTCCGTCCGTCCGTCCGTCCGTCCGTCCATCCATCCAACCGTCCGTCCGTCCATCCATCCAACCAACCAACCGTCCGTCCATCCATCCAACCAACCGTCCGTCCATCCATCCAACCGTCCGTCCATCCATCCATCCAACCGTCCGTCCGTCCGTCCGTCCATCCATCCAACCGTCCGTCCGTCCGTCCGTCCGTCCGTCCATCCATCCAACCAACCGTCCATCCATCCAACCAACCGTCCGTCCATCCATCCATCCATCCATCCATCCATCCAACCGTCCGTCCGTCCGTCCGTCCATCCATCCAACCGTCCGTCCGTCCGTCCGTCCATCCATCCAACCAACCGTCCGTCCATCCATCCAACCAACCGTCCATCCATCCAACCGTCCGTCCGTCCATCCATCCAACCGTCCGTCCGTCCGTCCATCCATCCAACCGTCCGTCCGTCCGTCCATCCATTCATTCATCCAACCGTCCGTCCATCCATCCAACCGTCCGTCCGTCCATCCATCCATCCATCCAACCGTCCGTCCGTCCGTCCATCCATCCATCCAACCAACCGTCCATCCATCCAACCGTCCGTCCATCCATTCATTCATCCAACCGTCCGTCCGTCCATCCATCCAACCGTCCGTCCGTCCATCCATCCATCCAACCAACCGTCCATCCATCCAACCGTCCGTCCATCCATTCATTAATCCAACCGTCCGTCCATCCATCCAACCGTCCGTCCGTCCGTCCGTCCATCCATCCATCCAACCGTCCGTCCGTCCGTCCGTCCGTCCATCCATCCAACCGTCCGTCCGTCCGTCCATCCATCCATCCAACCAACCGTCCATCCATCCAACCATCCAACCGTCCATCCATGCATTCATCCAACCGTCCGTCCATCCATCCGTCCGTCCATCCAACCAACCGTCCGTCCATCCATCCAACCGTCCGTCCATCCAACCAACCGTCCGTCCATCCATCCAACCGTCCGTCCATCCAACCGTCCGTCCGTCCGTCCATCCAACTGTCCGTCCATCCATCCGTCCGTCCATCCAACCGTCCATCCATCCATCCAACCGTCCGTCCATCCATCCAACCGTCCGTCCGTCCATCCATCCATTCATCCAACCGTCCGTCCGTCCATCCAACCGTCCGTCCATCCATCCAACCGTCCATCCATCCATCCAACCCTCCGTCCATCCATCCAACCGTCCGTCCGTCCATCCATCCATTCATCCAACCGTCCGTCCGTCCATCCAACCGTCCGTCCATCCATCCAACCGTCCGTCCATCCATCCAACCGTCCGTCCATCCATCCAACCAACCATCTATCTATCCATCCATCCATCCGTCCGTCCGTCCGTCCGTCCGTCCATCCATCCATTCATCCAACCGTCCGTCCGTCCGTCCATCCAACTGTCCGTCCATCCATCCGTCCGTCCATCCAACCGTCCATCCAACCGTCCGTCCATCCATCCAACCGTCCATCCATCCATCCAACCGTCCGTCCATCCATCCAACCGTCCGTCCGTCCATCCATCCATTCATCCAACCGTCCGTCCGTCCATCCAACCGTCCGTCCATCCATCCAACCGTCCGTCCATCCATCCAACCAACCATCTATCTATCCATCCATCCATCCGTCCATCCATCCATCCGTCCGTCCGTCCGTCCGTCCATCCATCCATTCATCCAACCGTCCGTCCGTCCGTCCATCCAACTGTCCGTCCATCCATCCGTCCGTCCATCCAACCGTCCATCCATCCATCCAACCGTCCGTCCATCCATCCAACCGTCCGTCCGTCCATCCATCCATTCATCCAACCGTCCGTCCGTCCATCCAACCGTCCGTCCATCCATCCAACCGTCCGTCCATCCATCCAACCAACCATCTATCTATCCATCCATCCATCCGTCCATCCATCCATCCATCCGTCCGTCCATCCATCCATCCAACCGTCCATCCATCCATCCATCCATCCAACCGTCCATCCGTCCGTCCATCCATCCATCCAACCGTCCATCCGTCCGTCCATCCATCCAACCAACCGTCCATCCATCCATCCGTCCATCCATCCATCCAACCGTCCATCCGTCCATCCATCCATCCGTCCGTCCGTCCGTCCATCCATCCATCCATCCAACCGTCCATCCATCCATCCATCCATCCATCCGTCCATCCATCCATCCAACCATCCATCCGTCCGTCCATCCATCCATCCATCCAACCGTCCGTCCATCCATCCATCCATCCATCCATCCAACCGTCCGTCCATCCATCCATCCATCCATCCGTCCATCCAACCGTCCGTCCATCCATCGTGTGCAAAGGCACAGGCTTTCAGTGTGTGTTTTGTGAGAAGTCTGTTTATACATGAGGCTCTTGGACACTTTGAGATTTATGAGCGAGTAGAAAAGTGATTGGGACACCGGTCACAGACTGCACTTCTCCCAGGGCAGTGTGGGAAGGCGAGGGTGCAGTGTGTGACCCCACTGATGTCAACACACTGATCTAGGAGCGCGAGGAGATGCTGTCGTGCTGAGACGTCAATGACTCCTTCTGTTGGTGGAATCATCCAGTGGAAATGCACAGAAAATCCTTTTAATATGCCTGTCTGCAACTCTTCTGTAACTTTGCGTTGTAAACCCTTCTTTGTTTTTGGTCTCTCCTCTAAGAGTTTTTGTTCTTATCACTATTTCAAACAAGGCTGAATACAAGGCATTTAAAGTATGCTTATGATCAGCCTTTTACAGGCACATGATGTCTTCTAACTGGTATTTAGAAAGAAAATATTTCTTGTCTTGTGGAATGCGCTGAAAAACATGCCCAACAAAGGTAAAAAAAATGTCCCTCGGAGATTTTTTATGGGAATATATGGCATTTTGTGATGTGAAGGCTCTAAGTGGCATCTTGTTTGGCTTCATAGTATCAGAAGGTAGTATACCGCTTGCGTCTGGTGACGTTTGAAGTAGATTCATCATCTGCTTTACATTTACCTGGCTCTGGGAGTCCTTTGACAAACTTGTCTATGCTTAGTGCAGAACCATGCATCATTAATGAATATTTTTACACGGTTCCCTGCAGTACTCAATTCTAATTCTTTAAACTTATTCCACAACAACAACCGCTACAACTGATAACAGGCCGCACAAGCGGGTACTGCGAGTCATTTTGAGGTAATAAAATATGCCAAATTAATATTTTGTGTTCAATTATTTTCTCATGTGGCAAGTCGCTGCATAATAAGCAGGATGATTTTGCATCGCCCTGAAGAGGTTTGTTTTGGATAACAATCTGCTGACTGTACTCTATCCCTTGGTGATGATACACAGGGCAACTTTTTGAGCAATGTTGCTGGGCAATCTTGCCGAGCGATTGTTGCTTGGGCACTTTCCCATTGAAAATGGGCAATAAATCTCTATCTGGATCATTTAGATCAGTCGTGGGCCCTGCGTCTCATCTGGTTGCCCATTGCCCAGCAACATTGCTCAAAAAGTTGTATGATCACCTTAAGTCTTGCACCGTCCCCGTTTTATAACTCCTACCCCCAGTGTGGGAACCAATGTGATAGACAAACATTTTATACAGTATAAATTCACTCCTGTTATTCTGTGTGGTAGATTTATTTGACCATCCCCCACCTTTGTATTACATAGACATTTTTAAAACAAATTTCTTAGGTACAATACTAGTACAATTTCATTTGAAAATGCATCTTTTTGTCTCCGTTTTGGTCCTCTATTATGAGACGGCATTTTTAGCAACGAAAACTACGCTTTTTGAAAACGCTCTCCAATGTGGATACCTTTGAAAAAGCTGTTTTCGCGAAAACAGAGGTATTTAAAAACGATGACGTAGGTTTAGTCATGTGTCGCATATTGAACCCATAGATATTCATGTTTATACTGGTATTGTGCCTTTTATGTGCTATTCACTTTCACACAGTTGCTAAAATATGTTACTTTGCACACTCTTCATATCATAGTTCTGCAAAGATGACAGAAAATTCACTCGCATTTGCTGTCCTGCGGTAAACATGAGCAGTTTTAGACCAAACATATAATAGTGAGTGAGTGCGACCTGGTGTGAGATGAGATCCGACAGATATTTTGTTAAATAAAATGATCCTGCCAGAAGAATTGCGTGATAACTTGATTATGTCTGTTCTGTCTGTATCATCTCAGTGAGCTTTTATGAGGCATTTACGCGTGCTCTGTAAGGGGAATTTAGTGTTTTCCGACGTTTCAGTGTGGATGAGAAACCTTTGGAAAACGCTAGTGTGGACGGAGAGTGTTTTGAAATCCAAACTCAGTTTTGAAATCTATCCGGATTAATGTAGACATAGCCTAAGAAAGTCACTTAACAGAGTGTGTTTTACAGCCTGATGTCAGGAGTGATGTTACGAATTCTCTCGTCTTTAGAAAATAAAATAATAAATCTAGTGGTGCTTTAAAGGGCCCAGAAACAAACATGCTGGTCAAAAGAATCTAGATAATGCACATTTAAAATACTATTTGTTGTAGTTTCCATTCACCACTATAGAAGTTTACCCAACCAATACGACTTCGGCTTCTGAGAAGCCTAGTAATGTATAAAAAGGGTCCATTTCTGAAATTATCCTTAATTTTGTTTTGCTGTGCAGCCATTGTACTTTTATGTAATGAAATACTTGATTTCTTCCAGGTATTCCCAGCATCAGAGGTCGTTTCTTCGCTACTCTCGAGGTGTTGGTGTTGCTGTAATGTGTTGCCTGGCTTGAGGACAAATACCCTGATGTGTGAACGCACTAGTGCATGCATGCGGTGCAGTGGCGAAGCGCTCTCGCTGTCTCTCATGTTCGTTCTCTGTGTCTTTCAGGTCAGTTGTGTTTACGGGACCATTTGACACTCCGCTTCTGTCAGACCCTCCGATTGCTTGGCCGATGTCAGGTGCCTTCGGTCCGGGTAAAGTGTTGCAGGACCTGCGGGCTCCCGTCACGGGGCGGCGAACGCACTGCAAGCCGCTGACATACAAAGGCATTCCAGAATGACCGTTGTAACACAAGATTATGACACAAATACTCAAAGCAGCTACCCAGACAGCAACATAGTGTCGGCCCAGATCCGGTACACTTTGTTGCTGTCTGGGTATGGACCAATCCATTGTTGGACAGACTTTCGTCTGGTCTGGTCATCCCAGACAGCAACATTGTCTCGGCCCAGATCCGGCCGTGTGGAATCCACGCGTACCGGATGTGGGCCGGATCTGGGCCGACACTATGTTGCTGTCTGGGATTGACCAACAGTTTATCAGGGAGCCACTTTGTCCCTACATCCTTTATCAGATTAAGTGGTGCTTATTTCCATCCATCATCTCAGATAAGTGGTAGTAAAGCAGGCAGAGTGGATCTTGCCATCTCACTATAGTGACTACAGTAATTAAGCTTCCTTGCTGAGGACATTTTTTATTTTCTTTACTAGTTGGCAATTGATGGAACAAATATATTCATAATGTGGACATTTTAATCATATCTTTTAACCCTGCCAAGACTGCAGTTCAGTTCCCAGACAGCAATAGTCAGTCCTTCCAGAAAAACACAGTTTTTTTGTGATTGTTGCGGGCAAAAATCCTTTATTATGCGGCCAGTTTTCTTAAAAAATGCGATGGAATATGTGGGATATTTATGCAATTTTATGCGATGAAATTGCGGGAACTTGCAAAAACTGCGGTTTGATGAAAAAGAGAATAAAAAGTGATTCCCCCAACACCCTGTTCTCACTAGGCTACTACCTTAAAGTAAAGAGTCATTTCTTATTACTTCCTATGATAAGCAAGCATAACTTCATCACAGAAAGTGCTGGGAATATTTATGTTGTCATCTTGTTTTATTTCAGACCTTAATAAACACATCATGATCAAACTTACAAAACATTGATGAGTCAAACAAGTTATGTAGCTTTACAAAAGGAATATGCTACAACTTCTGTAAAAATGAATAAATAAAATATAAAAAAATAAAGTGTGCTCCTGTTTTACAGCTTTAGATGATGTTCACGTCGCGTAATCACGTCACTTCATAACGTTCCCATGGCAACGGGGGGAAACGGCTGCTCTTGTGTGAAGCAAACTTTTTTGCAATGAAAATGCGAGGATTATGAAATCATGCAAGCCCCGCCGCATATTTTGCACGGAAATCGGCAATTTATGCGGCGAAAGTGCAGCGTATATGAAAAATACGACTTTGGCTGATTATGCACAATCATGCGATCGCATAATCGCGTTTTTCTGGAGGGACTGTATAGTGTCGGCCCACATCTGGTACACGTGGATTCCACACGGCTCAGATGTGGGCCGGATCTGGGCCGACACTATATGTTGCTGTCTGGGTTATTTGTAATTTTATTCCTGTTTTGTGCTGTTTATCATAATTTTTCCCCCCATTGAACCACATATAACCACCCCGCTAGTGAGCAATTCCATGTAATTGCAAGTTGAGCTTGCCAATGTTTCTATTTATTGCAGCTGATTGCAAATCAAATATAAAACCAGTAAGGAAGTACCTGGTGCTAAAGGTAGCGAGCGTTCAGCTCCTCACTCAGTCTAGTGTTGGCTGGTACTTGAAATCTAAAGACAATATTTATAGTATCTTAATTTTATGTCTGTATTTACTCTTTTAGATGAATAAACATACACGAAATAATAATTACAAATGCATACATTAGAGCTGCACGATTAATTGTTAAAGGAACACTCTGACTTTTTGGGACTTTGGCCTATGGGCTCTATGCACGGCGGTATTTCCGGTGAAGGTCAAGGATGCTCGATAACTTCCGCCGATCATAGAGTCCAATGCAATACAAGAATTTATATTGAATTGTATACTCCATGGTTATACTAAAGAAGCGTTAGTCACAAAAACTGACAAAACAGACACACCTCGTTGTGTTTATGCATCTTTTTAAAATTATATTAAATAAACATAACTATATATAAAATTACATCTAAACGTATGAAAGTTTCGTTTCAAAGACGGGAGGACAGTAAATTTTGAAGACTCTGCCATAATCCCGTTTTCCTCGGTTTTCCTCCGCTTTAATCTCCCCAACCGGAAACTGACGAGCATCCTTGCGTCAAATGCGGAACTTATGCGTGCATATAGCCTATTCACCTTATCCCCCAGAGTTAGATAAGTCCACATACCTTTTTCATCTCCGTGCGTGCTATAAGTCTGTTTGACGCACCCACCGCTAGCCTAGCTTAGCACAAAGACTGAATGTAAATGGTTGCAGCTAGCATATCCAAATAAGTGACAAAATAACGCAAACATTTTCCTATTTACATGTTGTGATTTGTATAGTCACAGAGTGTACAAAAAACAAAGTCACATGAGACACAGACATATTTTAACCGTATAAATACTGGGAACTATATTCTCAGAAGGCGAAGCACTGCTACTTGGGCGGAGTGATAACCGCAGCACCTGAGACGCGCCGTGGTGAGGAGCAGAGAGCGCGTCTCAGAGCGCGAAAATGTTTGCGCTATTTTGTCACTTATTTGGATTAGTATGCTAGCTGCAACCATTTACATCCAGTCTTTTTGCTAAGCTAGGCTAGCGGTGGGTGCGTCAAACAGACTTATAGCACGCACGGAGATGAAAAAGGTATGTGGACTTATCTAACTCTGGGGGATAAGGTGAATAGGCTAAAGTCCCAAAAAGTCGGAGTGTTCCTTTAAAAGACCACAATCTCGATTCAAACACTCACGTATAGGTATGAAACAGTTTCTTTTTAACCACATTATAATAATACCTGTCTTACAATGATTTAAATGAGCACAGAAGTATTGGATAGAAGTTTATAGTTCGGATATAGCTAAACACTAATGTCTATAGTAGCGAACAAAACTGTGCACTGTTCAAAATGTTCAATCATTCATTCAAGAGATTCGTTTAGAAATGTTGATTCATCCAGTAAATGAAACAAGTGAAGTTTTATAAGGGAGTCGTTGAATCAATCACTTTAAGAATACTTAATTCAAGTTGATTTAATATTCTTATCTTTAAATAGATGTGGTAATTCACAGCTTGTCAGAGCCTCTGGTAAAGGACATGTTAAATTGTGGGAGAATCGTGATCTCTGCTTTAAACAAAAAAAAATCATAATTCTCCATTTATCCCGAGTCGTGCAGCTCTAACATACCATAGAATAGCTTAACATCTGCTTTCTTAAATTATAATGATTTCTTTTTAATGCAATCATTTTCCTTACAGTATTGTATGCTTGCAGACATCAGTGTAAAACAAAACTGTCAATATTTTTTGTCAGGTACATGTAATACTACATGAAGTAAATGTTTAGTAGGCCTTGTTTTTATTAATAACACATGACCACTAACTGTGCATTCAGTCTTAAGGTGCCATTTCAGTGAAATTTAGCTGAAAATGTGCAGAACTGTGGAAAGTGTGATCGCACCTGAAGTTGCACGTTGTATAAACTGTGCTGCATATTGCTGTGAGATGTCAGGATGCTTTTAATATTTCACTGCATGTTGATTAGTGTCCTCAGATGTATATGAGTCCTGCTTAGCCTAGTCTAATTATACATGTCACGTCTCTCTAGACAGGTTATAGTCTAACCAGACCAAATTAAATCAGAGGTTTTTGCTTTATCACCTTTCAGGTGTCATTTGTTGGATTTATGTAAACAATAAAAAATGAATGGAAGAAAGAGCTGCACTCCGGTTACACATTAGCATGTAATATGGCATCTCGGTGCTTTACCTTCATCACTCGTTGATCCAGGGAACATGGGATGTAACTGCGGTCTCAATGATTTGTTCTTGTTGTTTTGCTGGAATGATTCAGACGACTACAGATCTACTATCACCAGATCAACATCAAAACGACAAATGCAACATATTATGTTTGTCAAGTTGCACTGAGAAATTTGAATTGATTGTAATGATGTTTTTTATTGAGGCTTGTAATTCTGTGCTCAGCTTACTGATGTTTCAGGACTGTCCAGCATAACGTTTTCTGGTTTACATATAGGATATTTTTTCTACATAATATTGTCTTTTTTTAAACATTATTTTATTGTGGGGAAAGTGCCATTGTCTAAATAAATATTACCCATATTGCACTTCCGTAACACCTTTTAATTAAATAGTTTTTGTAAATGAAATGATGTGACACTTCTTTTTTTCATTCGGGAATATTTTTTTTTATAAAAAACTTAGGTAACACTTTACAATTTAGTTAATTACCTTAGTTAACATAAACTAAGATGAACAATACTTCTACAGCATTTATTAATCTCATTCAATATTAATTTCAACATTTACTAATACATTATTAAAATCAAAGGTTGTATTAGTTAACATTTAGCTATTGCACTGTGAACTAACATGAACAGCTGGATTTTTATTAACTAATATTGACAAAGATGAATAAATACTGTAACAAATGTATTGCTCATTGTTTAACTAATGAGCATTATTGTACCTAAGTGTTACCAAAACGTCTTTAAAAGAAAAGTTTGATGTAAATGGAGCAAATTATGTCCAATAACTTAATTCTCATGGTTAAAAAGCAAAAATTCCTTCAGTTATTAGTCTAAAATGAACTCATATTAAGTGTCTGTAATGTGCCGTTGCATTTCCTCTCATTTTAGGACCATTCCTTTAAAGGTCACGTGGCTTGCAGAAAGGGCAGTTTTGTGCTGTTCCACTGATGTGAACTTTCATCACGTCTACAGTGAAATCCAGTACTTGAGCACTGAGGAGATTATAGGATTTATGACAGTGATTCTCATGGCCATTGGTGCAACTACACCTGAATAATTGAAATTGAACCTAAATGATAATTGCACTCCAGCTGACGGCTGGAAACACCGCAGAAACTCATTTAGTGTCAGTGCTGTGTTTACTTGTTTGCTTTTCAACTAAACCCTCTTCAATCTGCTGGATTTGATGGACGTCTGTAAATATAGTCATTATAAATCCGGCATGTGATTCCGTTCTCTCCTCATGGCCAAAGTCGTTCATGAAACAAAGAGGTCAGTGTGCGGACAAAGCTTTGATTCTTCATCATTAAAGCCTGTAAAGAGTTCATGCATCTCGCGTCTAATGCCCTTTAGTCTTCAATAGAAACATTGATCTCCAGATGACTTTACTGGGAAGAGAAACAGCGCCTCCTGGTGGAAAATAACAGATACTCATGAAAATCAATCACTTGCTCATGACATTTTAATGGAGAAAGGATGTAAAAATGTTCCATATGAGGTACAAGTATATGATTTAAAAGAAAATATGAGCAATGTTAGCATAAAACATTGTGTACAATATTAAATCAAAGTATGCATTGCATGTGTGAATTGATTTTCATTTGGATCAACATACAAAACAACATACAAATCTCTCAAATATTATCTTTATATTGTAATAATAGCATATGTTTAGGGTTAAACAGGGAATCTACAAGAAGCTGGGAAGTTATGTGTACTCTATCATTAGAAGAATAATGAATTCAAGTATCCAAATGACATATTATAGAAATTTTCATCCAAAATATACTATATGACTTTCTATACTTATCTGCGAAACCCAAGTTTCTCTTCGCATGAACGTTTATTATTGGCTGGCTGTGAGTCTAACCCACGACAAAACACATTTATATGTTAAAAAATGCATAATTTTCATGCATTGAAAAATGAAATTTTGTTCTTTCATTTGATTGTTTTCAATCACCGCTCTCCCAAGAACCCCATTGTTAGTCACTTCCCAAGTCGAGACTAGTAGACAGACACGTTTCAACATACACACGTTCGATTTCCAACATCTAGGAATGCAACATAAGCAAATAACCTTTAAGAACATTAAAATAGGATATATAAGAGTAAAAAAAACCTCCATATTCCTTAAAATGATCCCTTTTAAGAATACATTTCATTCCCCATTCATAGTTTGCCAATCAAGACAATCTAGCAGGGTTTCAAGTATGTTTATGAATGATATTCATTAGTCAGTACAGTATCATGTACAGTATGTGTTGATGCTTATTGCTTCTCAATATCTCTCCAAACCTCTCCCTCGGGAAACTGATGCTTTTGCACGGATTCTTCCAGCATTTCACAAGAGAATCCAGGATCCTGAAGATGTAGAAACACTTATTTATTGCTACAAAATATCCATATCCACCACTTTTCATTTTATACAAGTTTGTCCAAATGGAGCTAATTATTTAATTTATTAGGTTACACTTTATTTTAAGTTCCCCTTGTTAGAGTGTAATCATACATTTAAGTAGCGAGTAATAATAATTAACAACATGTACTATAAAGTTGAGGTTAGGGTTTGGTTGAGGGTTAATTGCATGTAATTATGCATAATTTACTGTTATTACTGCAGTAAGTACATGTAACATATGTAACTAGGACACTAAGGTTGTAACAAGGTTGCATTGTGATTTCAGTGACAAGTAGGGCTGGGCAAAAAAATAGATTTTTCGATTAATCGTTTTTTAAAATGTGGTCGATTCAAAATCGATTCTCAACGGCCACGAATCGATTTTTTCCATATTCAGGGCTCGCGGCGCTGCGTCTTCACTCTGCACAAGGCAAGCGTCAAGCGCTGCAGGCGTCGATACACACCAGAGACTATTTATATACACACTCGTGTTTAGGAGTCGGGACATGATTTACTTGCACAATCGGGCCAGCATTGCATCGTAACTAACGTTTATCATTTTCACGGCTTTTTTAAGTTTTACCAGTTTAAACATTCAAGCAATTTTAAACTATCCTGTGCTCGCGCACTCGCGAGTGTTTTTTATTGCGTGCACATACAGTAAAGCTTAAATCCGCCTCACAAACAGCTCGCCAGTAACAAAAGTTCTTTTTCGTGGATTATATCGCTTTAACAGTTAAAAACACGCAAAATGATGTCAAAACTCTGGTCTTGGTGAGTAACCTTGTAAAGACAGTCGGTTATGTCTTAAATAAGCATAAAACGCGTCTGACAGACAGTATAATGAAACAGTAATGGATCCGTGCACTAGTTCTTAAAGTGAACGCAGCCATATGTGTCTGTCGTTCATTTTGTTGTCAAAACAACAAAATATAGCATTAATTGTAAGGAATCAGAATTAATAGGCTATGTATTTAATTCAGTCAGGACTAAAAGACTATCCAGTGTTATTTTACATTGGATTACTTTATTCAGTTTCTGTAGTATTTCTGACCTACCCAAAAACTTTTCTTTTTATGTCTCTTTATTTGTGTCTTTAGGCCTATTCTATTGTATTTATTTGTGCTACTTTTTTCAATTTAATTCAAAGATTGAAATCAAGCTTCCATGTGTTGCATAAACTCTTAACAAAAAAAATACCCCATTGTAAAAACAAACATTTAGGTGAGATCAATGTAATAGAAAATTGTCTAAAAAATGATAACTGATATTTAGACTGAGATTTGTATTACATCTATATTCATTATAGTCGAATCGAGAATCGAAATCGAATCGAGAATCGAAATCGAATCGAACTGTGAGCTTGTGAATCGAAATCGAATTGAACTGTGAGCTTGTGAATCGAAATCGAATCGAATTTGAACATCTGAATCGATACCCAGCCCTACAATTAAGGATAAATATTTTCATTTAAAATTATTATATGATGAAGATTATATTTTATTACATTTAACTTAATTATACAGTAGTATTAATTCGAAGAATTCATTTGAGTTATCAATTTGTGAATTCATAATGTATAAATGTAAAAGCATAGGCCAATTACATTACACAAAAATGTATGTTATCATCATGAGCACATAATTTTATTACATTATAAGTATTTTTACATTACTAATATTAATTACATATTTGACTTATCTCATTTTATTCTGCTTTGCTGGCTTATATTTCTATAACTGCATGGCTGAAGTAGTTCCTCGCAGGCACATTTCCATATCAATTCAGAAAATTATTCTAGCTATTTCAAAGAGCCTTCACAGCAAAAACAACCAAAAACCACAGACACTGATCAATATAAACTAGTTCTACACACACGAGTGTTTCAGGGAGAAACGTGTGTAACTGTGGCATAGTAAAAGTGGAATAACTGATTCAGACTGAGATTGGGTATCGAGAACCAGTTTCATTTTAGAGCACCGGCATTCAATACGACGTCCATCTTGCTTATCGGTTCCTCTGTGTGCATTTTAATGTGATTTTAAAGGCATAAGCATAAAGGCAATCCCTAGCTGTGCGAGTTTTCTTCTTTAACTCACCACTGGTGGTATGTAGTGGGCGTTTCTGATGATGGTGGGGCTTCTGAAGTGTTCGTGCAGATGATCCACATACTCACACATCCTGCAATACATAGAGCAAAATCAGTTCATGCTTAAGACCTGAAGGAACTGTTCACCCAAAACTGAAATTACTCTGTTTTTCACTTGAAAATCTTCACTTCTGACTTCATTGACCTTTCACAGATGGTCCACTAAACACAATTAGCTGTTTGCTCTTATTTTTAATATATTAACATGATTTCGACCAACATTACACAGATTTCTTTATGTTCTATATTTATTTTGAAGTCTAGGATGTTGCAGTTAGCAAGGGATGGTGGTTAGTGAGTTATAATCTCTTAGTGAAGTGACTTAAAGGGATACTTCACCTCTGGAAAGATGAATGTGTATTTAAAATAGATCATTAATGTAGAAGAAATGTGAAATTATTTTTGAATTTGGAGCTTTCTAGACTGAGAAAAGCCAGAAAATGTATTTTTGGCTTATGTGGATGAAAGACAACAACTCCCAGAATGCACTTGCTTCGCTGCCCTAGGAGGCCACGCCTACCGGTAACAGAGCGCAGTAGTTAAACAACAAGTCTAGGCTACTAGTGAGTCTCCGCGATGAGTCTGCCCAAAATGTCCGGGATTCAGCTTTTGCGTTCTACAGTCGCCATTCATCATGTTTACTGTGGCGAGCAGGACGAGACTGAGGGCCGCGGGAGAACGGCGCGAGGCCGGTGGCGTGATTTCCGATGAGCGACACCTGTGAGACGCACCGGTCTCGTATCTCTCACGGAGGAGCGGGAATTTTCTTAGCAATGTTAAAACGCACATCAACCGATCACTTGTTTAGAATTCATGTAAACACTACATTCAGTTTCACCAATCGGAATGAATTCAGTTAGATTGAAACAAAAGGTGTGCATGTAAACAATGAATGGCGACTGCAGAAAGCAAAAGCTGAATCCCGGACATCGACGGCCGGACATGTCCGGGAAAAAGAGGATGGTAACCCCTACTACTCAGCTTTCTCCACAGAACAAGAGCCTGCTAGCTTAGCTTCCAAAAAAAGATGTCTGACACTATGTGTACATTCTGTGAGTGAGATCCCAGCCTCTATGGGCGGGTTGAGAACATGCGGGACAGCCCCTACTACTGACTGTAGTCTTTAGCCAGTCTGGCCAAAAAATCCTCCCATGACGCAAAATGACGATTTTTGCGTCATCGGAGGATTTTTTCCAGACAAAAAATACATAAATCTCTCGTCTCAGGGGGATATGAGGGTGGAAAGCACGGTAATTCGAAAATACTACAGGTTTTCTACTAATACAAAGCTTAATGCTAAATCCTGAAGTATCCCTTTAACTAGTTGTCCAGCAACAATCAAGTTTATGAGTGATTTACACTAGTTTATCTAGACTTTTATATATATATATAAAATAAAATCAGATTGAGATGAGGAGAAATCAAAGCCAGCCTAATCACATGTGGCTTTCTGAAGACTAGTTTAGTTACAACACACCAACTAGTCCATTTTGAAAAGTTTTGCCCGTCTATTACACACACTTATTACCAGCAATAGGACGTGGAATACAGTTTTCTAGACTACTTTTATGGAGCACGTTTTGAGCTCAACATATCCATTGATTTTTGTTTTATAGACAGAAAATCTCTGTTTATATTCTACAATAAAAGAAAAATGGTAACGCTTTACAATAAGATCTCATTAGTTAATGCATCAACAAACATGATCTAACAGTGACCAATACATTTTTATACAACATAATTAATCTTAATGCTAGTTAATTAAAAAAATACAGTTGTTCATTTTTCATGTTAGTTTTACAGTGCATTAACTAATGTTAACAAATACAACTTTTGATTTTAAAAACGTATTAAAAAATGCTGAAATTAACTAAGATTAATAAATGCTTTATAAAGTATCATTCATTAGCCTATTAGTTAATGTTCACTAATGTAGTTAACTAATGCTGACAACTGAAACCTTATTGTTAAGTGTTACAAAAAAAAAGAATAGTCCTACAAAATAATAATATTATGATGATGATGATGATGATGAGGGTGTGTAAATGACAACATCAGTTTTGGATGAACTATTTCTTTCAGTAAGCATTAGGCTAAGGCTTCAAAGCATTAGACTTAAAAAAGAGGAATACACACATTTGTTCAACACACATACCTATTGCTTAAACTAGCAGACACAGAAATGTAGTCAAACAGAATGAGGTGTTGAACAAGCTCACACAGTCCCACACCCCCGGCATGAGGACACACGGGAACTGCAAACAAGAACAAGACACACATTCCTGTATTTCATAGACAAGCAAATGAGACATGTGTGGATAATATTAACGTTCGATTTACCATTAAACTTAGCAGCCATGAGTATGATGGCCAGGTTTTCATTGACACTGCCCACCCTACAGCTGTCAATCTGAACAAACTGTAGAGCCGAGGCCTGGAGAAACTGCTTGAACATCACTCGGTTATGGCACTGCAAACAAGCACACACATATATAGACACAGTACAGTATGGAATCTCAAAGTTAACTTAAAGATATACACTCACCTAAAGGATTATTAGGAACACCATACTAATACTGTGTTTGACCCCCTTTCGCCTTCAGAACGGCCTTAATTCTACGTGGCATTGATTCAACAAGGTGCTGAAAGCATTCTTTAGAAATGTTGGCCCATATTGATAGGATAGCATCTTGCAGTTGATGGAGATTTGTGGGATGCACATCCAGGGCACGAAGCTCCCGTTCCACCACATCCCAAAGATGCTCTATTGGGTTGAGATCTGGTGACTGTGGAGGCCATTTTAGTACAGTGAACTCATTGTCATGTTCAAGAAACCAATTTGAAATGATTTGAGCTTTGTGACACGGTGCATTATCCTGCTGGAAGTAGCCATCAGAGGATGGGTACATGGTTGCCATAAAGGGATGGACATGGTCAGAAACAATGCTCAGGTAGGCCGTGGCATTTAAACGATGCCCAATTGGCACTAAGGGGCCTAAAGTGTGCCAAGAAAACATCCCCCACACCATTACACCACCACCACCAGCCTGCACAGTGGTAACAAGGCATGATGGATCCATGTTCTCATTCTGTTTACGCCAAATTCTGACTCTACCATCTGAATGTCTCAACAGAAATCGAGACTCATCAGACCAGGCAACATTTTTCCAGTCTTCAACTGTCCCAATTTTGGTGAGCTCTTGCAAATTGTGAAATACTCAGACCGGCCCGTCTGGCACCAACAACCATGCCACGCTCAAAATTGCTTAAATCACCTTTCTTTCCCATTCTGACATTCAGTTTGGAGTTCAGGAGATTGTCTTGACCAGGACCACACCCCTAAATGCATTGAAGCAACTGCCATGTGATTGGTTGATTAGATAATTGCATTAATGAGAAATTGAACAGGTGTCCTTAAAAATCCTTTAGGTGAGTGTAGTTGACTTTATTCTATGGAACCCAAAAGGAGATACCTGATAATGGATGTCATTGTGTTGTTTCCAATATTCTTAAAAGTATCTTTTTTGTGTTCCGCAGACTAAATGGCATATAGTTTTGGAACATGAGGGTGATTAAATGATGAAATTTCCATTTAAAATGGCATTGACAGATAACAAAGAACATAACAGATTTCAATAACAGTTCAAGCTATTGAATATTCAACTTTGACACATCAAAAAGTTCATAAAGAGATTGTAAAACTAATCCATATGAATTGAGCGGTTTAGTTCAAATTCACCTCAAGAAGGTTAGGCTGCGCTTCTATTTATGTTCGCTGATCAATGAACATTGATATATGTGAATAAAAGCCTAAATTCTCTCTGTTTATCATATAAAGCGATCGAGACTCTTCAGAAAATTTGGACTAAACAGCTCAATTCATATGGATTAGTTTTACGATCTCTTTATTAACTTTTTGAAGCGTCAAAGTGATAGTTGCGTAGACTGTCAATGGAGGGACAGAAATCTCTCAGATTTCATCAAAAAGATCTTCATTTGTGTTCTGAAGATGAACGAAAGTCTTACGGATTTGGAACGACATCAGGGAGAGTAATTAATGATAGAATCTAAATTTTTGGGTGAACTAACCTTTTAAGACGATAACTATAATGATAACGATAAATATAGTTCTGAAAATTAGTCACGCCACAACTAAAACAATAACGGCCCAGAGGAAGATATCGTTGAATCAATTTTTTTTTCAGCTGATGACCGATAAAAACATTAACAGCCAATCAGAATCCAAACTGCTTTAAGAGCTCACGTATTTAAAGCGGCAGACGACAAAACTGCACCGCCCTTAGAATGAACTAAATGATATTGTCTGCTGGTGTGGACACTAATATAGTTATTATCATTATAGATATCATTCATAGTGTGAACGGGCTTTTATACCCAATAAATATACTCTCACCTGCTCTCCAGAGGCCACTCCAATACCAAAGGGTGCAAGTGCCTAAAAACAAGACAAAAACCCCTCAAAACCTGACTAACATCGTCTAATAATGAACACAGTGAACCAGTTTACCTTTGAGATGGAAGCATGACCTAGAATATCATCTGGACACGTGGGCTCCTCAATCCACAGAGGGTGAAACTCTGCCAGCTTGGTTACCCAATTAACCGCTTCGTTAACATCCCACCGCTGGTTGGCATCAATCATCTGACAGAGAAGAGGTCATTAAACACCCCAAACGCAGCCTTCCGTTCACAGTCTGGACCAACTTAACATTCAACTTAAAGGGTTAGTTCACCCAAAAATGAAAATTAGCCCATGATTTACTCACCCTCAAATCCTCCTAGATGTATATGACATTCTTCTTTCAGACGAATATAATCGGAGTTATATTAAAAAATGTCCTGGCTCTTCCAAGCTTTATAATGGCAGTGAATGGAGTTTCTGTTTTGAAGTCCATAAAAGTGCATCTATCCATGATAAAAGTGCATCTATCCATGATAAAAGTGCATCTATCCATGATAAAAGTGCATCTATCCATGATAAAAGTGCATCTATCCATCATAAAAGTGCATCTATCCATCATAAAAGTGCATCTATCCATGATAAAAGTGCATCTAACCATCATAAAAGTGCATCTATCCATCATAATATCGTATTATTACTTCTATATAGATTTATATATTAAGTTGCTCAAGCAAGTGGCAAAACATTTATACATTTATGTTAACATCGCAAACATTTTAAATTAAAACATACATAATTGACAAAAAAGCTCTCTCATCCCTTTTCTTTTGCATTTAAATCTTTTTTACAAGAAATATTGCAATCACAAAGAACTTGTTTCAGGAAGAGACAAGTGCATCCATTATGTCGCGTTGTTGAGGTAATGTTACTGTGTAGTTTCCTTGCTTTAATTACCCCCAGCTTAAAGTTAAAAACAAAATGATTGAAAAATAGTATAATTTTTTTTTACTATATTAGTAAAAAAGATTAGCCCTACTATATTTTCATATCAATCCGTGTTCATTTTGACCATGAACCATTGCTGTCACTTTAATTCAGCACGTGCAGCACAGCAAAAATAGACTGTGTAGAAACGATCGCTGCACTGCTGTATACACACCGCTCCTGAAACGCATTGCCGCACCGCATCCGCGTGCAGGCCTGTTAACATGGGTACGGAAAAAATACATACATATGCACTGCAAACGGAGCATGTGTGAAACAGGCGTTAGCCAGAACTGTTGCCCCTACAGAGTATAGTTTGCTGCTGCTCGTCGGACGGCTTAAATCCGAACCAATGGATGTTGCACCGGTTTTTTTCACCAGCTCCTCCGTTTCGCTTTCAGCCATGTTTACTCAAGATGACGAATACGATGATGCATTGCAGCCGTTTGCAGCTCGTGGCTCTAAATTTTGTGGGTAGATTGTGTCAACATGCATTATCGCGATAATTAAAATCCATATCGTAGACCAATTTTGTATCGTTTATATTGCATATCGTTTATATCGCCCATTACTATATCCATGATAAAAGTGCATCTATCCATCATAAAAGTGCATCTATCCATCATAAAAGCGCATCTATCCATGATAAAAGCGCATCTATCCATGATAAAAGTGCATCTATCCATCATAAAAGTGCATCTATCCATCATAAAAGCGTATCTATCCATGATAAAAGTGCATCTATCCATCATTTAAGTGCATCTATCCATCATAAAAGTGCATCTATCCATCATAAAAGTGCATCTATCCATCATAAAAGTGCATCTATCCATGATAAAAGTGCATCTATCCATCATAAAAGTGCATCTATCCATCATAAAAGTGCATCTATCCATCATAAAAGCGTATCTATCCATGATAAAAGTGCATCTATCCATCATTTAAGTGCATCTATCCATCATAAAAGTGCATCTATCCATCATAAAAGTGCATCTATCCATCATAAAAGTGCATCTATCCATCATAAAAGCGTATCTATCCATGATAAAACTGCATCTATCTATGATAAAAGTGCATCTATCCATGATAAAAGTGCATCTATCCATGATAAAAGTGCATCTATCCATGATAAAAGTGCATCTATCCATCATAAAAGTGCATCTATCCATGATAAAAGTGCATCTATCCATCATTAAAGTGCATCTATCCATCATAAAAGTGCATCTATCCATCATAAAAGTGCATCTATCCATCATAAAAGTGCATCTATCCATCATAAAAGTGCATCTATCCATCATAAAAGCGTATCTATCCATGATAAAACTGCATCTATCTATGATAAAAGTGCATCTATCCATGATAAAAGTGCATCTATCCATGATAAAAGTGCATCTATCCATGATAAAAGTGCATCTATCCATCATAAAAGTGCATCTATCCATGATAAAAGTGCATCTATCCATCATAAAAGTGCATCTATCCATCATAAAAGTGCATCTATCCATCATAAAAGTGCATCTATCCATCATAAAAGCCCATCTATCCATCATAAATTATGAACATCACTCGGTGATGCTTGGAAATTTTAAAGCTTTATAAGCATTATAAAGCTTGGAAGAGCCAGCACATTTTTTTAATATAACTCAGATTGTATTCGTCTGAAAGAAGAAAGTCATATACACCTAGGATGGCTTGAGAGTGAGTAAATCATGGGCTAATTTTCATTTTTGGCTAAATCTGATCAGGTTGAAATATCTATCTACTGTTTTGCAATATATACACATTTGACTGAGAATCACCAGGGTGTTGTCTGGTCCAATCAACTTTCGGATAAGGCTGCATCTACGGATGTCATCCTGCAAATCGGCCCCAACCTTCACTTTAAATTTAGTCCATCCTTGGGCAAGAGCTTCAGAGCAGAGCTATTCAAAGCAAATGATATTTGTTAAGGTCAGAATATGATTATAACAGAAAGTGAAACAGCCAAAGCACAGGCGTACCTGGGTAAGTTGCTGGTCAGTGTAGCCCAGCCAAGCACATGAAGTGGTGTAAGCAGGATAGCCTTCCCTTAACATCTGCTCCTCTGCAGGGGGTTAAAGTCACCATGAAATCAAGCTTGACAGGTCTTATTGTTTATGGAATATTGCAGTGTTTATTCTAAATGATTTATCCGTGCACATCATTTTTTTTTTAATTCCTGTGCCACTTAGGGTCTGTTTACACGACACCGTTTTCAACTAAAAACGTAAAACTAAAAACTGACAACGCAAATTTTTGAAAACGGGTTTCAAAGTGCAAGTTTTTGAAAACGGTCTCCGTGAAAACAACAAAAACGCGAATCTCTGGAGACTATGACGTCATGCACATGCGTATTACGTGTTCAGTCTATAGTGTTTCATCGCCATCTACTGGCCTGGCAGCAGAATACAGCGTTTTTAGTCGTTTTCACAGATCCGTGTGAATTGGGATTGTTTTGACAATGGTGTCGTCTGTACGTGGAAAACTCAAAGGAAAATATTCTCCGTTTTAAGCATATCGTTGTCGTGTAAACGTACCCTTACGTACCCTATCTTCCCCTTCGAACATCTCTTCTCTGATGACGAGGGCGGGGCAACCTGTCACTCACATGAGATCCACCAATAGCAAACCACAACCATCCAATCAATCCCCCAGGACAAAATCAAGCCCCGCCCCACATCTGTTCTTGTTCGAGAAGCCGTTTGACTTGGATATACTTCACAATATGGACGGAAAGACTATTGCAGCTTCCTTTTTACACCGACTTTAGAGAAATAGTGTGCATATATCTATCTGTTTTGTTTTGTTGTCCAGCCCAATTTGGGTTTTAGACACACACCTATTTTTTTTTTAAGTCATTTGTGCCCATCACAAAGAACATGGATTATCAAAAGTATGGCAGAATGAACTCTATTTCTTTTACACTCTCACTCTGTCATGCTGTTAGACAGTATTTGTGTTTTGTTGTTGTTTTATTAATAATAAATAAATAAAACTGTTAAAATGGTCCTAAGAATACATCTTAATTCTTAACATACACAACCTTTTGAAAGACTGTGGTCGGAATGATTTTTTATTTAATTTTTTGCATTTATTTGATCAAAAATACAGTAAAAACAATAATATCGTGAAATATTATTATTACGATGTAAAATAGCTAAAAACATATACTATGTGAATATATAGTAAAGTGTCATTTATTCCTGTGATCAGAGCTGAATTTTCAGCATCATTACTCCAGTTTTCAGAGTTACATGATCCTTCAGAAATCACTCTAATATGATGATCTGACGCTCAAGAAACATATATGATTATCATGATGAAAACAGCTGCTTATATTTGCTTAATGCTTTTTTCAGGATTCTTTGATGAATAGAGAGTGCAAAAGAACAGCATTTACTTGAAAAAAATTTTTTTTTACAATGTAAAACTCTTTATAGTCACCTTTGATCAATTTAATGCATCCTTGCTGAATAAAACCCCCAAAATTTCTTCCGACAAGAAATATGAATATCAAAATATGAAAAATTATAATATGATAAATAAATAAATATGTTCAACAGTTTATAGCCTTTATGAACTGAATTCACCTCTAGTTTTCTTTCCCGTTTTGGCTTTTACCAAAATATCTAAAAGAAAGAGAAAAGGAGTATTATTATGGAGTATAAGAAGTAATTCATTATATGAGGAATATCTGATTAAATGACGTCACCTAAAGCTTCCCGCTCTGTCAGCGCATCAGTGATATATCGGAAATCAATACAGCTGATCAACTTCACAGGATCCTAGGCAGAGGATTCATAAACATTCACATAATGCTGAATGTTCAACACGTTTAAAAAGCACAGTTGCTTTCTTCACGCTGACCTATTTTAAAGTCAGCATAAAAATCAAAATTGGCCCTATTTATTTTTTCTAATGCATGTTACTGGTCTTGTTGTGAACAATTCATCCATTTATAGACCTTTTGAGCCATAATCTTTCATCGAAATGTCAGAATTACAATCTAATAAACAAAAATCAGGTCTTGTCTTACATTCTGCTCAATAACCGGATTAACTCGGAAACACGTAACAATATGGAAATACAGTCACATTTCGTATATTGCATACTTTAAGTAATATTCCTTTGTTCAAATCGAACAAAGGACTACAAATCGAGTACTCACCATGTCAGCAAGCAGCTTCCACAAGGGCTGCAAAACATATTAATGATATTCATGAATTTTTACGACATCTGTTCAAATTGACAGCATGTAAAAGAATCGATCTTGTTGCTCACCTTTCCCTCCACTCGTGCCCATAAATCCCAGACGGCGTTCAGAATGGCTGCCGTCGCCAGCTGAATTACTCCTTTTTCTGGTCCAATCTATCAGTGAGATCATCTGTTGATTCAGCTGAACACGAAGAAGTCTTGAACGGACGGAAACACACCTGATACTCACCCATCTCATCTGTCCATCACTGCTCAGGAGTCTGTAGAAGCCTCTGAAGTCACCGGTGATCTCCTCCAAACTCTTCCCCAACACCAACGTAGATAAGGCTTTAACTGCACATACGACTACACACACACACTGACCTAGATTAGTATAACCTAGTCCCAAAAAAATGGGAATTTCTATCATAATTTAGAACTGAGGGATACAAAAATGAGATATTTTCGCCAAAACAACAGCTCTTTTATTGTTAGCAATAATATAAAACACCCTTTTCTGAAGCTCCTTGTGCAACACTAGCACAACACAATCAACGTTGTTCGTCTGGTTACATCATGACAATGTCACCGCTTTAGCTGGGAATACTTATTCCAATACAAGCATGGTACTGATAAACTGAACAGCATTGTTGGGGAAAGTAAAAGTACTCCAATAATTTGTTGTAAATGTAAAAGTAATGCGTTACTTGAGAAAACTTATCTGACTACGTGAAGCACTTTACTTGTAATGCGTGGACAAATATAATGCAGACGTTATTATTATTATTATTGGAGCACTAATATTGGTAAATATTAGCAAAACAGGTCTATCATTCAAAATATTCAACGAATTTTAACCTTTGGTAAAATAATTGTTAGACAAAAATATTCTTATCATTAAAAAAAATTTTTTTTGTTATCTGAAATGTGTTCCCCAATTGTTGGCACTTTATTTAATTCTTTGTGCATCCTTTCTTTGTCAAAGTAACATATCTAAGGGTACGCTTACACACTACAACGTTTCCTTTGCGTTTTTCACGTACATACGACAACGTTGTCAATACGATCCCCATTCACACGGATCCGGGAAAACGGCAAAAAATGCTATATTCTGCTGCCAGGCCAGTAGATGGCGATGTGACTTTGTAAAGAAACACACACGCCTATCCACCTTATTCCTACGCCCCATGACGCTTTGCGCGAATTATGGGTGTAACTTCCATTAAGCTGTGAACAATCAGCGAAAGGCTCGCTCTATGAACGCAATACGTTAAAAAAGAGTCACAATGAGATGACATTAATCGACTCACCCTTCAACCATAGAACATTAAAATGAAATTTAAAAGTTTAAAATCAACAAGGTCAACAGACCAAAAATAGCCCCAAACGCGCGAGTCTTTGGTTAAATATCACTGTAGTAGGCAAATATATTGTATAACAAGCCTTAATCAAAAATGTTCATTAACTTCAGAATTACGTGACACTATATGAAAGTAATTTCCGTCATTTTGACAGATTATAAATTGCATTTACCTGTGAAAACAAACCTGGAAAGAGACGTGAGGATTTGAGGAGAATAACGAGATTCTTCGTGCATTCCAGTGAATTATTATCGTAAATTAAATTCGGGAGAACAGACCACAAATGTGCCGTATATGTTGTACTTTTTTCATACTTTTACAGCGGATTGCACAGGAAAAAATAAAAATCATCATGAGGAAAAGAAAGCAGCCACTGAAAAGAGCTCTTGCCATAGATATTCTTGTTATACCATGTCACGTTAAAATACCAAGTATAACGTTATTCTCATGATGTCTGAAAATAAATCATGAAGGAAAATTGACAGCTCATCCAGTCAAACTGACGGATCAGCTTTATTTGTAGGGCAACCTTATAATTTGAAATGATTCGTTTCAGCCTTTTTGAATGGAAGTTCCCCAAACCGGAAGTGCCACCCATAATTCAAACTCCAGTAAGGTCATCAGGAATAAGGTGGATAGACTGAAAAGATAATATGCATGCGCATGACGTCACTATTTTCACAAATTCGCGTTTTTTGTAATTGTACACGGAAATGATAACATTATCGTTATCAAAAGTGTGCAAAATGCTGTGTAAATTAACGTCCAAAATGCATAAAAAGTTTTACATTTTTAGTTTTAGTTTAGATCTTTTAGAGGCCGGTTTCACACACCGTTTTCAACTAAAAACTTTGTATGCGTTTTGGCCATTTATTTAAACGACAACAGCTTTTTGCGGGCCTGAAAATGTTAACTTTCAGGGTTTCAAAATGCATGCTTTTGAGAAGAATACCGCTATCGTCTCCTTGTAAACTACAAAAACATGAATTTGTGAAAACGGTGACATCATGCGCATGCGTATTACGCTTTCAGTCGCGTAGCTTTTCTTTACAAAGTGACATCGCCATCTACTGGCCTGGCAGCAGAATACAGCGTTTTTAGCCGTTTTCGTGGTTCTGTGTGAACGGGATCGTTTTGGTAAGTAAAAAAAACGCGCCATTGTCGAGTAAACGAACCCATAGATTCTGAAGTCGCTTTTGGACTCTCCTCTTTAGTTCATCCATCCCACAGGTTTGCATTAGGGGTTTAAAGGGGGTTGTGTTCGCCAATGCTAAATATTCATTCTCTGGTCAGTGAAACCATTTTCGTGTTGATTTTGAGGTGCACTTTGGATTATTGTCCAACCACTGCCAAGTTAAAGCTTCTAGTAGAGGCAGTCATGCGTTTAATATCTGCTGGTACTTGAAGGAGTCCATGCCATGATTCACAGATTTTGAATGAAAAATCAAGAAGATAAACAGCAAGCTGGTTACAATTGTTCATTCATTTGTAATATTCACGTTCATTCCATTATGAAGGAGTACTTGATCACAGTTTTCTCCAGAAGGTGTCAGGCTCGTGTCGTTATTGAATAAGACATTGCCCTCGCACGCCATGGTCATATGACATACAGTATTTGTATAAATGCTAGATTTGTGAAGCTCACCGATTTCCGTCCCTCTTCCCACAGTAAAAGTCAAGCCATAACCCTTCAGTTCAGTGTCCGTCTCAAGAACAACATACGCCACAGAGTAATCTGGATCGGTGTGCTGCGAATCAATCACATTCATTACCAACTGCAATGCATTCATTGTTGTTGGTGCATAAAATGACTGATATAAACACCAGAGAAGTGAATCTCATAGAAAACAAACCATTGCATCCGATCCATGTTGTTCTAGTGAAGTCGGGAATCTCACGTCGCGCACTCTCACATTTATTATTTTGCTTCCTGACATTTTGTTACAGTTGTAAACTTTGTGGCTGTTGAGAGCAACACTTCGTTCTAACACTCCGACCCAAGAACCCTCTGATTGGCTGGCTTTTTGACAATATTTTCAGACCGTAATATGATTGGCTGTTTTGGAACGACGTCACAAATGATAACAACGTGATCATATGATCGTAAGAAACGAAACTAGCCTACTGCTGGAATCATAGATATCATATAGAGACTGGAATACTGTTGTTGTAAGCTATAGCCTATTCTGTTAATAAAATAAATTAATAATAAAAAAAAGACTCTTATAATAGGATGAATATTTATGTTGGCGTGAGAAAGCCAACATACTTTTTGTTATTAAATTAATTGGTTACACTATTTTATTGTGTCCTTGCCACACGTTACATGTAGCCTATTTACTATAGTAATAACTATAAAATTAAGCATAATTACATGCAACTAACCCTAAACCAAACCCTAATCCTACCATAACCATAATAAGTATATGTAGTTCGTAAATATTAGCCAACTCATTACTTAAATGTATAATTAGCCTACATTGTAACAGGGAAACATTAAAATGAAGTGTAACCGACTTACTTATTAAAGCCTTTTCATTAAAGGGATAGTTCACCCCCAAAAATGAAAATTCCCTCAAGTTGTTCCAAACCTGTATGACAGGCTGTATCAATTTGTTTCTTATGCTGAACACAAACGATTATATTTTAAAGAATATGCCGTTTATGTTCCCCATTGACATCCATAGTATGAAAAAAAAATAAAAAACATACTATGGAAGTCAAGGTGGTAAATCAACTGTTTCATTACCCACGTTCTTCAAAATATAATCTTTTTTTGTTCAGTAGAAGAAAGAAACTCATACAGTTTTGGAACAACTTGAGGGTGAGTGATTTAAATTCTCCTTTTGGGTGAACTCTCCCTTTAAGATTACAGTTATGACAAACATCTCTGACTACTATAACTCCTCCTCAGAGCTTTAAAGCCACCAAACTTATAAAAACTCGGGAAAAATCCCATTACATTGACAGAATATTTAAATGAGCCAGTACTGTTCAACTCCAATTAATCTTTATTCCTTCAACATTCTTTAAAAACTACTTTAAACTTAAGAGACTTCAAACTTCAAGGCTTAAAAACTACTACCATTTTTTTTTTTACCTGACTTTCTCAACATCAAAGTTTTTCTAGACAAACTTAATCTAGTAGTAATACACCTGCATCTAAAGGTAAATTAACTAAATGTTTCTTGACAGATAAGACACTTATGTCTTACACTATATTCTCCTTAAGGAATTCATGATTATAATCATTAAAGAATCCTTAGACTATATAAAAATAAAACAAAATGTACTTGCATGAGAGTATCTTGATGTTCAGCTCTTTCTGGAGTCAGTTATGCTTTATTTTCTTCTTCGGACAGTTCACTTCTACTGATTCGCGACTTTAAAATGTTTTGATTAAATATTGCTGAGATTAACTGATGTTGGATACATTGTTTCGACATAAATTCAAACATTAAACAGAATTCAAAAAGTACTCAATGTAAAAACGTTTTACATATTAAAGTTAGATTGTTATGTTTATCAAAATAAGTTTGACCCCACTTTATAATATAGGCTAACCTATAATTTATTAGATACTGTATATGGAAACAGCAATGAACAACATAATCTGAATAAGTTTATTCAACAATAACTCATAAAACATGTCCACCCAATTGAACCACAGTAAAATAAAATCGATTAATTTATAAATATATACATATTTTGTTCATAATTAAGAACACTGCAAAATCATCACGTCAGTTTGAGAATGTAACAAACAGATACGTAGAACTTCAGCATATAGATAAATATGTGTCTAGTTTGTTCAAATATTGTAAAACCATTACTGAGATTATCAGCTGACATTCAATACATTTAGCTGGACTAAATCAAAGAGTAGAATAATTCAACATACAACAATATGAGAGATTTCTAAATACATATAGCAGGGACAATAACTGGAAAGTGTCATTTGGAAACTTGGATTGACTATTATAACGATGTTGTAACATCACATAGTGCCGTTTGAAACACTTAATTAACTTAATGTAACTTTTGCGTAAAACCACCTGTATATATATTGCCTTCATTACATGAGGAAGACCGTGAAGTCTCAGCGATACAGGTAACTTCCACCTAAACGTATTTTCATGAGCGTGTTGCAGCTTTGAGGAGCCTCGAACACAGCTTGTCCTTCCGTTGGAGGTTTGGTGCAGATCTGCATGTTCTCGGTGGATGTTACTGAAAGGCCGAAGCGGCGGCGGTAGCGGCGGCGGACTGGAAGCTTCGGTTAGTGACGACACCTTGAGAGAACTCGTCCTGGGCCTTCTGGAAGCTCGCGCCCGTGTGCCTGTACATGGAGTGCACCTGAAAACACACGGCAGAGTCAGTGAACGAGGGAGTTTCCAACAAGAGTATCGGATGCAGAACGATAAAGCACAGATGGAGTAGCCTAGGGGAGAGCGGGGCAGGCTTTTTGACTTTCTCAGTTTGTGTAAATCTACCTAGGGTTTAGAGAATTAATTTTTTCCCACATGTCTAGTATAATTATGTGGTTTTGTTTTATTAATTCAGTGTATACTTTTTTCTTGATTTACCCTGAAAGAATGGAAGTGAAATGTGACAACATGCCCCATAGGTGAGGGGCACATTGTAACATCACCATATGACCGCGTAAAATGCTCTAATCAAATGATCTAATCAAAAAAATATACAAGTCAACCCAAAATATGTTCTTAATAAAATACAATTATTAACTTTTTCATATAAAATAATGGCATTTTTTAATAATTAAAAATAAACTAATCTTTGAGTTTGACAACAAACACACCAGAAAACACAGCATAGTTCAAAACAAAATAATAATGAATAATTTCTGAACATTGACTCTCAGTCTTTATTTACATGTTTCTCATGTTTTCTCAATAGAATTCATAAAAGTATAGAATAGCATATTTCTAATAGGGGCACATTTAACGCAGTGTTACGACATGGCACAACTGGGGTTTAAACCCGGCTAGTGTCTTCTGCTAGTTAGCGAAGCATTAAAGAACTATATCAACTGTTAAACAACAGATTGGAGATTACAATAATATCAGATTTGTCTAATTTTAAATCAACAAAAAAAATAGGGATGAAAAATTAACTTAAGTAAGAAATGTACTTTTGCCATCATGGTTAAATAAATGTTCAGTGATATCTGATTTCTGAATTTTGGCACAATTTTTTCTCTATATAGTGTTGAAATGGCAACTAGTGAATACACCAAGTTTCGTCATGCTGGCATGTGTGGAAGTATTTAAAACAAGTGTGTTACAACTAGCCCCGCGCTCCCCTAGATCGAGTCCTTCAGCTTCAGCTGGGTTCCTACAGGTTTCTTCAAGTTAAATTCAAGTCTTTTTAAGACCATTTATATAAAAAATTAATACCCATTTCACGTCCCTACCAGCAAAGAAAAACAAAATCCTTGAATTTATTTTTCAAATGTGGAATGAGTAAAAGATGATAAGCCAAGCAGGTGTGAAAAATAAAAACATTTCAGTAGGCCACAAGAAAGTTTGCCGAAAAATGTTAAGTTGTTTTTTTAGCTAGCTACTTATTCCATGCTGGGAATTATGGGGAACTGAGAGACCCCTGAACAATAAACATCGGAAATCATAATAATCGTGGTTGACAAATGAAACTTTTGAGGAAAAATACAATACGGAGAAGTTACATATACAGCACAATTTTTAAGACCCAGACATCAAAATTCAAGACTTTTTAAAGTATTATTTCCAAATTAATAAATGTAATGCTTTTAAGGCTTTTTAAGACCCCGCGGGAACCCTGTTCAGTCGTTTCCTCTTCGTGTGTTCCACATTTCATCCGGTGACGTTTGGCAGTTTTGATTTATATGCAGTTTGATGATCGCGTTATTTTACATGAGCGTAAGCAATGCTTCTATCGCTTGTTTCTGCTTCTTCCTCACTTGTCTTTTAATCTGAAGATTGTGTACCCTTTCAGAAGAGGCGTATAACAGCAACATCTCTAGAAAACAAACCCTCTACGGGTCAAAATGACCCGAACACAACATGAGGGTAAAAAAATAAAATATAAATAGTTGAAAAACTTGAAAAGTTGTCTTGGCAATAACCTGAAATAAGCACTAAAATTATTACCTGGAAATAAACAAAAACCCTAACTAAAGCTTAAAAAAATTGACCTAAATGGTAATATATATATAAACTGATAAAATGACAAAAGCACATAGCGAAACTCCTAAAATTTTTTTAAAAAAAATTAACTTTGACAAACTAAACATAAAAATAAAAGTTAATTCAAAATATGAATAAAACCAAGAGAGTTTTGAACAAGAGTATCGGATGTAGAAAGATAAAGCACAGGAGGAGTAGATCGAGTCCATCAGCTTCAGTCGTTCCCTCTTCGTGTTCGACATTTCATTCGGAAAATTCAGTTTTGATTTATATGCAGTTTAATGTTTGATGATCGTGTTATTATACTTGAGCGTAAGCAATGCTTCTATCGCTTGTTACTGTTGGAAAAACTTGAAAAGTTGTCTTGGCAATAAACTGAAATAAGTTGAAGTACTAAAATTATTAACTGGAAATAAATAAAAACTCTAACAAAAGCTTAAAAAAAAATAGACCTAAATAGTAATATATGAAAATAAATAAATAAGGTTACATAGTAACCTTATTTATAGTAATATATGAAAATAAATAAATAAGGTTATTCTACAGTGTCCTTGTTACATATGTTACATGTACTTACCATAGTAATAACAGTAAATTATGCATAATTACATGCAACTAACCCTCAACCAAACCAAACCAAACCCTAACCCTATAGTAAGTACATGTAGTTAATTAATATTACTCAGTGCTTAAATATATAATTAGACTGTAACAATGACACATTAAAATAAAGTGTAACTAATAAAATGGCAAAAGCACATAACGCAACTCCTAAAAATTCAACTAAAATTAACATTAACAAACTAAACATAAAAGCTAATTCAAAATATGAATAAAACCATAATAAAAACTAAAATAACTTACCATTTTGAGTAAGACGATGGACAGCACGGCGTTGACAGAGAAGAACGCAGCGACCAGCATCATGAAGACTGACACAGCTTTACTGGTGTTGATCACACTGATCGCCGCGATCCAGCCGCTGACACACAATCATATCAGCACATTACAGCTTCATACAATATCCACATGCTTCATTTCATATTCAACAATATTATTGATCTGTCTGCATTGACACCGTTATATGAGAACTGAACTGAGCTGGACGATGACATCACTGTTTTCTCCAGAGCGGCTGTATATATAAATGAACTAAATTAATAACTTTTTTACACCAGAAATGAACCATCACTGAACGTACTTAAGCTGAACTATGACGCTTTTTTTTCTGATAGTAAACTGTTGCATTATTTTCCTGTTATCTGTTTAAAGCTGCTTTGAAACGATCTGTATTGTAAAAAGCGCTATATAAATAAACGTGACTTGACTTGCTTACAAAATCCACTAAACGTACAATATGATCAACTTTTTGGTTTAGGAAGGAATCCCACATCTCTCCTCGGCAAGCACACAATTTCAGCTATCTTTTTCATTTTAAATGATGGTTAGAGATTTGTAGGATATTAATATAGCAATGGTTGCCTCAGCAAGAGTGTGAATGTTAGGGGTGTAACGATACCCTCATGTCACGATTAGGCTTGGGCGGTATCCAAATTTTGATACCGTCAAACCTCCTCCCTATTTTACCGCGGTATACGGTATTACCGCGTGACTAATTAAAAATTATGACATAAGGCTCAGACGGCATCACCAAACTGTTGGTTTGTGCAGGGATGAGTGAGTCACAATTTTCGAATATTAAATTATTTGATTTTATTATAGAATATGGAATAGGTTGTGGGATTATTGTCTATAAAAAATCCCCATGTTTTCCGTTCTGATGCGGTGGTGACACGTTCAACCAGAGGGTGGCGATGCCAATAATGCATCTAAAAGCTGTCAATCAACTCTCAGACAACAGGAGAAGATGCACATTGTCTCACAAAAGAGCATGTGAGCGGAGTGGTAATATTTCCTCCAGAGCAGAGAGCGCATTTCTGAAGATCACGCGCCGCTCGCCCAGTCCACTCAGCGGCGCGCGCTCAGAACGCCCGCAGTGACATGCTGGTTAGAAAACATGTGAAGTAGGGCTGCCCGTGCACGACTAAAGTTTTTTTTCTTTAGTTGTTGATTTAAGCCATTAGTCTAATCACATATTTATATTGATTAAATTACTTAAATATATATTGGAGAGAATGCTAAACCATAATGAGCGTTTTCGTAATATATTGCCTATTCTGCATCTCAAAGCACGCATAAAGCTTGCCACAAAGAACCGGCAAAAGTAATTATTATGCATGAAACATTTGAATTGTTTATTAATAAAAAACTTTCTATGTCAGTGGCTGCACAGATAAAGTTTACGATGCAGACTCGCCTCTTCGCAGTAGTGAACGCGCATAGAGAGAAATGCACACTTCATATGAATTAGCCTACAGAGAGCAGCCCATTTCTTTTAGTTTTTAATTGTTTTGTTTAAAAGTAGACATTTCAAGCTTACTATATATATATACACTTCTCAGATATTTAAGGCATCTATCTTACATGCTGAGTTTCTTTTTTTTTTAGGAGACGCGCTCCCGTTCACGCGCCGGCTTATATTGTCTAATATATATGCTTCTTATTTATTAATCCAGGCAATTCGTTGATGAAACATTGATTAAAATGAAGATACAATTTATACAAAACGAAATTCACTTTAAAGAAAGGCTTTCTACAAAACGTAATAAGTGGTCAAAAATCATGTCTGACCCATTCCAAATGTTTTCCGATATTGGGCATCTTATGATCCTATCTTATTCATCTCATGCAGTTTCCTTTTCATATAATCAACATAGATGAAATAAAAAAGCAACAACATTATATTATTAAACATAAATATGAAAAGAAATGTTTTTTTTTTTGTTTTTTTTACTTATAGCCTATTTAAGCGTCACACCGCTCCACTCTACATGCATGTGTGCGTGGTGGAGGGGTGTGATTTTCGAATAATAATCAAATAATACCAGGCGATCTTCAAATATTATTTTTGCTTGAAATGCCCATCCCTGCCAAACTGCAGAAGTTGTGTTCTTCTTCGAGACCAGGTCACTCGGTGCGCAACTTACCATCTTTCCCCCTCTCTCCCCCACTCTTTCTCCTCCACACTGTCACGTGATGACAACCACACATAAGCATTTTTAGCCATTAAATAAATTATATTTAATATTTAATCCTTGTCTTCATAAGTGCATTAGATTTTTTTTATGATGGTATGACGATATTGAAACTGATACCGTTGCTATTTTTAGATCCCGCGGTATACGATATTACCGTATTACCGCCCAAGCCTAGTCACGATATTATACATAATACGATATTATTGCGATACTCAAGAGATATGATAAAAGGTTAACACAAAATGTACTGTTGATTAAAATGCTAAATTTGGTATTACATTGTGTGTGTAAATGAATAGGATTGGATTTAGTGCTGGAAAACCCAAAGCACAGGACAATAGAGACACCAGAATAACAATATTCATGATTCTGAAGATGAAAATACAGAATTATTTTAGACGAATATGCTTGCACTCTTTCACTGACTAGATATATTTAAAATAATATAGGCCACTTTTTACTGGTAACATCAGACATTTGACATTAGCAGGACCCACAAATATTCCCGCATTGCATTATTATACATTATACACAACATTATATATAGCAGTTTAATGAAGTTCTGACACTAAAACTCAACTAAAACCGAAATTTCCATTTTGGGTGAACTATACTCAATACATACTGATGCACCCCTAATAAACAGCATGAAACTGTAAATGAAAAATGCACATTGCTGAGAAGAGTACAGGACGGTTCAGCAGAAAGCAGAGTCACACTCACAGAGAGAGCCCCGGAAAACCAACACACCGACAGATTACGAGGAGGCGATCTGTCTAAGAAACATGCCGAGAGGAAGAACACGTAAAGATTCAGGTCACACACTTAAATCAGAGCTGTCCAGAGACGGAGAGACTCACCTGTTTCCCCAGCCAGGGATGCCCACGCTCTGAATGATGTACACGATCACTTGGAATGAGAAAATGAAGAAGAAAAAGAAGAAACTGAAGGAGCTGTCAGATCTGCAATGCGAAACAAAACAAAAGTTACAGTTGAGATGATGATACTTTTTAAAAATGTTTTTTAAAGTGTAACCTGTCAATAATCAACACGTCATGACTATATATATATATATATATATATGCACACACATACATACATATTTCACATATTTATACATATGCTATATATATATACTGTAAATAAGTGTACATATTTTGCTTTTGCACTGATATTTTGGGCTATTTTGCTTCCATAACTTGTCATCTTTCAAGATAACTTGTCATCTTTCTATGTGATTTCTTTCTAGTGGAAACACATTTGACTGTTTAACATCACTGTCTGCATCTTTAAAGGCTGTTTTCTCAAAATGATTTTTTCTCTTCAGAAATCTGCACTTCAGCAGCTTTATTCCTATCTATATTCTGAAGGTTTTTACAGAGAGGTTTGTTCATACGTCACAGGACAGATTTAACATTTCATTCCTAAAAACGTTGTGATTTTTTATGGCTGTAGACAGTATTTTCTGATTTATGGAGAATCCAAAACCTCCTCATTAAATATGGTAACAAGATCAAATGAAACAAGAATTTTTTTAAAACCGCTTTGTTCAATGTTCAGATTTAGTTCTGGAAATCTATGCAAATTAGAGCATATTTAAACATAATGTTTAAAAAAACAATTGTCCTAATCTACTGGGTGAACTATAGTGATATCTATTAGTTCAATGTTTCATCGTTCGACTTTCCCTCACAAACTGTTATGACTTTAAAAATGTCACTCTCTTTATTGTAATGTAAAAAAAGATAATGATATTTCATGGTAGTATTTGTTGTACCACTTTATATTTAAATTTTAAGGGAGGGTGAGGCTAAAAAATAATGGTAATACTTTACAATAAGGTTCATTAGTTAACATTAGTTAATGTATTAACTAACAATGAGCAATACATTTGTTACAGTATTCATTAATCTTCGTTAATAAAATTACAGCTGTTTGTTCATATTAGTTCACAGTGCATTAACTAATGTTAACAAATACAACCTTTGATTTTAATAACGTATTAGTAAATGTTGTAATTAATATCAACTAAGATTAATAAATGCTGTAGAAGTATTGTTCATTCTTAGTTCATGTTAACTAATGAACCTTATTGAAAAGTGTTACCAAAATAATAATGTCACAATGCAACGCATCAACATTGAACTCACTTAAAGGCCTTGTAAACGGGTCGGTACCAGCAGAGGAACGCGACGGGAGTGAACAAAAGAAACCAGAGGATTGCGAGTCCGAAGTCAACTCCTTGTGTCGTGTTTACAGAGAAATACGCCAGACAGGCCAGCATGTTCAGGAGCAGCGTCACACTGTGATCTGTGGATCAACAACATGTGGATTATTATCCAGGCGCACACAGAGCAATTTACTCAAATGTTTGCTAACAAGCATTGCTACTAGCATACAACGTACTTCTCAAACTATTTTGCAGCATGTAGTATGTATAGTAGGCACAGTACACACATCTGTTGCATGCATGTAATACTCGGGTGACATATTACACTGGATACAATTAGCAGTGTAAAACTTCATGAAAAACATGAAATATTCAGAATGCAAATGTTAAAACATTTCTATTTTTACACAAATGCAGATTTGAAAAAAATCTAAATACTGCAGCATGATTATAGCAAGAAAGTCTGTGAATTTGTAATTATCCAAAATTATTCAACCCCCATTGCAAATCATGTTTATTGGCAACATTTACAGACTTTCAGCTGTTTGCAATGAACAAATCAAACAAAACGAATTGAAATAGCTCAACACAATAAATGTTTCAAGTGGTTTCCCCAAATTCAACTGAAAATGCAACTTTTATTGCCTTTCACCCCCCTGAATAGATTCCCTCACTACAGCACAAATCTGCAAAACAGGTGTTGTCTCAAGCCCACCTGATGCAACTTATCAAGGGCTTCATTAGTTGCACCAGGTGCGCTTGAGCTAGAACACACAAAATATCTGAACTGGCTAGGTTTGTTGAGTGTCACGTTTGACTGCAAGTCAAAAAAGAATGAAATAAGCCACAGAAGTTTAGGGATTCTGATGAAACAAATCTGGAACTTTTCGGCCCTATGGATCGTGTGGAAGGCAAGAAGGATTCACTGAAGTATCAGTAAATGCTAGGAGAAAACGTCATGTCGTCAGTGAGCAAGCTAAAGCATGGGAGTCATTGGACCTTCCGACAGGACAACGATCCCAAACATACCTCAAATTCCACCCAGGCTTGGTTGCAGAAGAAGTCCTGGAAGATCCTACTGTGGCATCACAGTCACCTGACTTGAAGCCCATAGATAATCTCTGGTGGGATTTGAAGACGGGAGTTGCAGCACGCAAACCCAAGAGTATTACTGTACTGGAGACCATTGCTCATCATGAGGAACAGCTCAGATTCCTCAGAAACGCTGGCAGAAGCTGCTGTCTGGTTATACAGCTCATTTGCAGCAGCTCATAACAGCAAAAGGGTGTTTAACTAAGTACTAAAGATGCTTGCCATGAAGGGGGTGAATAATTTTGAGACAGCAGAAGTCATTCAAAGTTGCATTTTAAGTTGAATTTGGGGAAACCACTTGAAACATTTGTTGTGTTGAGCTATTTCAATTACTTTTGTTTGATTTGTTCATTGCAAACAGCTGAAAGTCTGTACATTTTGCCAATAAACCTGATTTGCAATGGGGGTTGAATCATTTTGATTGCAACTGTATTCCATTTTATTCCAACACGTCTGTGTTCACTTACACATCCAGAGGTAGTACATCATCTTGCAAACCCGTTGATATTCCACAGGAATTTCTTCATTAAAATCCTGATAAAAGCAAGGTTTTATGGGGAGAAACCTGGGCAAAGGTGGCCAGTTGTTCTCTTTACCTGCAAACAAACATTCCTTCATGTCAAGAGTGCAGATGAGAACATCTTCAGAGTGAGATCAGTGCTGTAGTATTCATTACTTCAATGAGCTCATTGTTTCTGCATTCAATTATTACAGTTTAAATTAATACATTTTTAGCTAACTGTGATTTTGTATCACTCTAAATTGTAATGTGGACTCATGCACTTTCTGTAAAGCTGCTTTGAAACGATGTGTATTGTGAAAAGCGCTATACAAATAAACGTGAATATTGTAGTGTCTCACCTCGCGCAGTGTCTCGATCCCGAAGCTCCTGTTCTTTACGCTCCAGCTCCGCTGCTTTCTTCTCCAGCTCCTCTTGCTGACGGATGAGATCCGCCTGTCCCGCTGCGGCACCGGCCTGATGGAGGAACCACACACACACACACTTACACACTAAGATCAACCAAAGAAGCTGTGTCTGGGTGCCTTTGGGAGGATATGAAGTCAGCAGCTTTTAGGGGTGTGACGGTACATGTATTCGCCCCGAACCTTCATGGTGCAGACGTCACGGTTCGGTGCATGCAGTCAGGTGACAAATATAGTCTTGCTGCGTCTCAATTCTCCTACTTATACTACACCCTAAAAGTGAAATTTTGATTTCAGGGGGCCTTTAAAGGTGCAGTCTGTAAGAATGACAGCTAGTGGTGGAAATAGGTACTGCAGTGCAATTCAAAATATCGGAGATCGTCGTTTCTCCCGCCTCCTGCTCCTCATACTCGACGGCGCTCACACGGGTTGCCAGTTTGAGCGCACGCAACAGGAACGAGCGCAATAGACAATGAAAATTGGCAAATTGGCAACGTGCAGTATCACAGACCAAAACAATAACAAACATTCCAGCCTGGAAACGCACATTTGAGAGTAAAATAACTGGCTGTAGAAGGGTTTTTCAAAGAAACCAGAATGTGAACTTAGCATGTTTCCTCAATATATGCAAACATATGTATTTTTATGCTTTAGTAGAGTGGAAAAGTTACATACAGCACCTCACAATCAAAGAAAATGACACCGTAGGCTACGATGGCGGACATGTAAATGTACGAATTGTGACTTCTGTTTACCGTTACACCCCTAGTAGCTTTTCCTCTTTCATGCTGTACTATGCCTTTAGTCCGCTAGCATTTCACGCGTGGCCTCGCGCCTACTGACCGTCTTATTTTACACCCGTTTCACTGAAAGGATACAGGTTATATCCAGCATTTCAGTCCTAGTAGTGATATTGGTAGTATCACTACTAATTTACTGTTCATCTGTTATGGCGAACATATCAGATGTGTGTCTAACGTTACCTCTGAGTGCAGGTGAGGACACATTCGAGCTGATTTCGGTACGATTGGAGCTGGAATCGGTGGAGAAACAGATCCGTGGTCTGCTGGAGAAACAAGCCGAGCTGCGGGATCGGCGATCAGCGCTTGAAACGTCACGCGCCGATGCTCATAAGTCAGTGGTTAGTAACTTTTTGACTCCGACTTCGTCTACTACTACGCGTTCATCTCTGGCTTCGTTCACTCCGGCACCGACACAACACCACGGACCCTGGGTGATCCCACAGCGGAAGACACGAGCCAGGACCAGAGCAAGAACCTCTCCGCCCCTCCCGGTCTTCGAGATCTCCACCCAGAACCGCTTCTCCCCCCTTCGCGAGTCGGAACGCGACGACGCCGTGATCATCGGCACTTCCATGGTCCGTCATGTCCGTGCTACCTCAGGTAAGGGTAAGGTGCGCACTCACTGCTTTCCTGGTAATCGTGTTCTTGATGTCGCCGCACAGGTTCCCGAGATCCTGAACGGTGACGAGCGCGTCGGAGCCGTTGTCCTCCATGCGGGAACGAACGACATCAGGCTGCGGCAGACGGAGGTTCTGAAGAAGGACTACAGGAGCCTGATCGAGACGGTACGCAGCACAGCGCCTGAGGCAACGATCATCGTGTCTGGACCGCTTCCCACGTACCGACAAGGACAGGAAAGGTTCAGTAGATTATTTGCACTAAATGAATGGTTAATGTCATTGTGTAATGAACAGAAACTGCTCTTTGTAAATAATTGGAATCTGTTCTGGGAGCGACCTAGGCTCTACCGTGCTGATGGCCTGCACCCCAGCAGATTCGGAGCGGCTGTTCTGTCGGACAACATCTCCAAGACGTTACACACCGTATGACTAGAAAATCAAAGTCCAAATCACAGTCTTTGCTGTGCCAACTTAATTGATATAAGTAGTGTAGAACATTATATAGAAACTGTGTCTATTCCTCGTTTAGTGAGGCCAAATAATAAATCTACTGTAGGATCTAGGAAAAATCTTATTGTAATTAAACCTGAAAATCTAAATATCAGTGAACAAAAACAATTTCTAAAACTAGGTCTTCTAAACATTAGATCGCTCACACCTAAGGCGGTTATTGTAAATGAAATGGTCACAGATAATAGCTTCGATGTACTTTGCCTTACTGAAACCTGGCTTAAACCAAATGAGTATTTCGGTCTAAATGAGTCTACTCCGCCAGGATACTGTTATAAGCATGAGCCCCGTCTGATCGGTCGTGGCGGCAGTGTTGCAACAATCTATAGAGATATTCTTAATGTTACTCAGGAAACAGGTCACAGGTTTAATTCGTTTGAAGTACTTGTGCTAAACGTTACGCTCTTAGATGTAAGAAAGAAATCCCTATTATCTCTAGCCTAGGCTAATGTATATAGACCTCCAGGACCATATGCTGAATTCCTAAAAGAGTTTGCAGACTTTCTCTCAGATCTATTGGTCAATACCGATAAAGCAATAGTTGTTGGAGATTTTAACATACACGTAGATAACACAAATGATGCGTTAGGGACTGCGTTTACAGATTTATTAAACTCCTTTGGGGTCAAGCAGAACGTCAGTGGTCCCACTCATCGTCTAAATCATACACTAGATTTAATTATATCATATGGAACCAATCCAACCGATATAGATATTATACCGCAAAGTGACGATCTCACTGATCATGACATGGTAACTTGTATAATACGTACTGCTGAAATTTGTCAGGTTGCGCCACGTTATAGACCAGGCAGAACAATCCTTCCGACCACTATAGATAGATTCTCAAATAGCTTACCTGATCTATCTCAGCTGCTCAGTGAACCCAAACAAACAGATGAACTAGAGGAAATGACTAGCAGTTTGAGCACCATTTTCTCTAGTACATTAGATATTGTTGCACCAATTAGATCAAAAAAGGTTAGAGAGAAAACTAAAGCACCATGGTACAACAGTGCTACGCATGTTATCAAAAGAGAAACTCGTAACATAGAGCGTAAATGGAAACAAACTAATTTAGAGGTCTTTAGAATCGCGTGGAAAGACAGTATGTCACGTTATAAAAAGGCTCTAAAAGCAGCCAGGGCTGAGCATCTCCGCAAACTAATAGAAAATAACCAAAATAATCCAAGGGTTTTATTTAACACCGAGGCTAGACTAACAAATAAACAGACATCACCAGAGCAAAATATTCCGTTACAGTATAGCTGTAATGATTTTATGAACTACTTCAATGAGAAAATAGAAAGCATCCGAAACACAATTGTAAATGTACACTCTTTTATGGTGTCTTATGATTCAGCCTCAATTATGGCCCCTCTGGAACAACTACACCGCTTTACAACTATAGGACAGGAAGAGCTAAATAAACTTATCATTGCATCTAAACCAACAACATGTTTATTAGATCCAATACCCACTAAATTTCTGAAAGAAGTGTTACCTGTAGTGGAAGAGCCTCTTCTTAATATTATTAACTCGTCTTTATCTTTAGGTCATGTTCCAAAAATATTCAAGCTGGCAGTAATAAAACCTCTTATTAAGAAACGAATCGGTTACCTAACGTAACCTCGGTTCTCTCTAGATGAGGGAACGAGTATTGCGTAAGCTAGCTTACGCTGCGGGAAAGATTCATCTTTTCTGAGAAATTGAAGCCAAAAATTATCCTATAATTTTGTATCCATTGTCAACGCAGTTCAGCTGCAGCAGAGCATGAGCAGGCTAGCTAGCAGCTCATTGGCTCGCTCACAGGGAACTGCTTAAGCCTATGAGGAGACACGAATGAACTCTCGGCCAATGAGAGTCTGACCTGCTCTCATTGCGTCAGAGCCCGCCGAAACGGGCGTGGCCAGGGAGTATAAATTCGCCTCTCAGGCTGCAAACTCTGGTTTTCATAGAATGAAGCGAGAACGCTAGTAGCACAAGCACGGCCAGGAACGCAATACTCGTTCCCTCATCTAGAGAGAACCGAGGTTACGTTAGGTAACCGATTCGTTCTCTTACGAGAGGTTCTCTCGTATTGCGTAAGCTAGCTTACGCTGCGGGAACACCTGGTCAACGCCGTGCGTGCTAAGCATCCACTATGAGTCCCAGGGGGGACCCCGGGGAACCCTTATGAGTGGGAATAAAATATGTACATGTGACAAAGGCCAGCGGAGTGGGCCGGGGATTGTGAAGTACATAAGCACATGATAAGGAGGGACAGAACGAGACCGGTCTGCGTGAATAACTCCCTATAGTGCAGCTCAACCAGAAGAGCTGTAACATACTAGACTGCTAGTAGTTTAGCCTGCAAGGCGGGAACTTCCAGATTGTAAAATCTGATAAAGGTGGAGGGGGAAGCCCATCCCGCTGCCACACAAATATCATGAATGGAAATTCCGCTGGACCAAGCCCACGATGAGGCCATGCCTCTAGTGGAATGGGCCCTGATGCCCAAAGGGCATGGCAGGTCTTTTGACGCGTATGCGGCTGCAATGGCATCAACTATCCATCTGGACAGAGTCTGTTTCGAGGCGGCCAACCCTTTGGTGCGCCCACCGAACGAAACAAAAAGCTGCTCAGCTCGTCTGACCGGAGCAGTGCGAGTAAAGTATAATCTCAGGGCCCTGACCGGACACAGGAGATTAGAGTCAGATTCGCTATCGGATGCAGGCAGAGCCGATAGGGAAATAACTTGTGCCCTGAAAGGGGTACCAATCGCTTTTGGGACATAACCATGTCTAGGTTTGAGAACGACTAAGGAGTCATTGGGCCCAAACTCCAGACAGGAAGCGCTACTGGACAGCGCGTGAAGGTCTCCCACACGCTTCACTGACGCGAGCGCGAGCAGAAAGATGGTTTTGAGCGAAAGGTATTTGAGATCCACGGTGTTTAACGGTTCGAATGGGGGGGCTTTCATAGCTTCGAGAACTATGGAAAGGTCCCAAATCGGCACCGACGGGGGGCGTGAGGGGTTCATCCTTCTAGCTCCCCTGAGGAAGCGGATGACTAAGCCATCTTTGCCCAGTGACTGGCCGCGCCGGGGTTCAGCGAACGCCGCGACGGCTGCCACATAC